CCCCCAGCAGCCTTCCACAAGAGAGCACAGAGACTTGCTGAATTTATTTCAAATCATTCTGCAACTGTTCACCAGTGATAAAGGCAAACACATTTTCTGGCTTAATATGGTCTCTGAGAAATTCATTTGGATGGGGACCAGGGCCTGTTGCTTCACGCCACTCTCCAGTCTCTGTTTTTGTACAAATCCCAAAGTTACAAATCCAAACACGTACCAAAAGGAACTCCTGGTATAAACTTGAATTTCACAACAGCGTGTGATGGATCTGCAGTATCACAGCCCTCCAAATATCAATATTGTTTTGACAAACAGTAAAATCCAACACTGACATGATAAAGACAATGGCCAAATGTAGCCACACATCTGCCCACAGCAGGGAAACAACTGGACAAAAGCTACTCTGAGTCACAATAAAAAAGGCAAACCCTCCAGAAAGCCTTGAATCAATTCACTGTCTTTGCATATTCCTGCACCCCAACACAAACCCAAAGCCACACGAGGCTCTCAAGCAAGGCTGGCTCTGGCCTGTGGGACAGAGCAGTGAAGCTGCTCCTGGACAGATTTAAAGACTTTTTTTAAATGAAAAGCTTCACAAGTGCTGCAAGATGCGACGTAAAGCGGAAGAGAAGATAATGAAGGACTGGATTTAGTAAGGACACTGTGGCTGGACATTTCTGTTCCTGAAAAACAAAAATGTCCCCAAAACGCCAGCGATCACAAGGTTGTTACATAACCAAAACATCCGTCAGAGCACCCATCACTCACACGAGAATGAAAAGCTTCTGATTCACAAATATTGAGCTCACACACTTGAGAAGCTCCCAGAAACACACACAGAGGTGGATGGAGCTGCTGTAGTGGCAAACATCACCCCTGTTGTGTCCAACCCTTGCTGCTGGAACAAGGCATGCCTGGTCTTTACCTTGGCCTTTCAGCACACACTTTTCCTGTCAAACCAGTAAATTGTCTTACACTGGCTTGGACTGGCTTAGTTCCACGTTGGCACACAATCCCAGCAGGTCTGGCCTTTGCAGCAGATTTAAAAATGGTGGAAACACAAAAGCTTTCACTTCATAAAGTTCATCAGGCTGGAGGAAATCTCACCACTGGGGGCAAAGAGAAGAGATTGGACATGAGGGATGATGTAAGATTTCCTGACCTTAGCACAGGAAAACCAGGAGGAAACATTGGGACCTGGAGACAATAGAATAATCAGCCCAATAATTAAGCTGATTAAGACCCTGCTGGCCATGATTGTTTAGCAGAACCAAGACCAAAAATACTGACCCCACTACTGCTCCTGCCCTAGACAAAAGTGAATTACAACGATTTCAGGCAAAGGGGGAACTGGAATGTGAGCTGAGGGCAAGGGACACCCAGGGAGAACTCAAGCCATCCTGCCTGGTCCAAAGCCAGGGCAAGCTGAGATTTGAACACCTGAACCAAGAGAATAAATGAAACATTTTGGGAGGCAGAGGCTGATGCCTGAGCTTTTACACTGTGTAATTTCACCAGGCACAAAACCAGCAGCTCTTCCTGAGTAACAAGGGGAATATTTGCATTTTCTTTCAAGGGTGATGGCTGGCAGCTCTGAATTTCAACTCCTGGGTGTTTTGAGGCAGTGGCAGGTTTTGCATCAAAAGCTTTCCAGAAAGTTTCACATTTCAATGCAAATGTTGTTAATCCTCCACAGCGAGCCTGTAATTAAGACACTGATTCCACAGGGTACTGCAGCACCCAACAGTCCAGACAAGGTTTAAAGGCACCCACCCACAGCAGCCACAACCTCCACCAAGTTCCATCCCAGCTCCAAGCCTCAGATGTGCCATCTGCTCCTGGCATCCATCCTCAGGGGACATCAACAGCCCCAAAACAGGTCAGGAACCGGTGAAACACCACATCATCCATGGTTACAGCAGATGCAAAGCATTCCTTTCACAGGAGCCACGGAGCACCACTGCAGTTAGTCATCAGAGATGAATGTCCAGTGCCATAATTAGCTACAAAATATTCATTAGTTCTCCAGCTTATTCACTTAGGAGAAAAAAAAAAAAAGTGGTGGACTGTGCACCTCCTTTTTCTAAAAAACATCAGTGATGTGCATGTTTTATTCAGTTCCCTAAATTTTTTTGAAGGATGTTTAATCTCTTCCTAGGAGGACTTAGGTCAGAACACAGAACTACAACCTCTTTTTGTGAGATGGGTACTGGAACCTCCAAAATTCAAATTCAGCATTGGAACAGATGACTTGACAGCAGGCAGCTGGAAGTGGAGGACATCAGGGGATTTTAAGGGATGTCAGGAGCCAGGTCTGTGGTTAATTCCCAGCAGCATTCCTTGTTCTTTGCCCTGATCATTTAACAGATCGTTTTTCTTACCAGCACCTAAAGGGCAGAAGAGCAGCCCCAGGCCTTGACTGCAGCCATCCCTGCTCAGAGCCTGGAGCATGAACCAGGCTGCAGGGCAGGTCTGGAGCTGCTCTGGAGAGCAGGAAGGCAGAGCAGGAGCAGGTTAATCTGCCCTGAAGAGGGGGCTGGCAGTGGGGCTGGGGGCAGAGCCCCCCTCCCTCAGAGATGTAAATACAGATTGTTCTGTGCCAAACCCCTGTGAGCTGCCCCACTCATCCCTCTCTGCTCAATACTCAAGAGCCAGTGATGAAAAGCAAACCCATCACTTCAGCCCACAGACAGGTTTGGAAGGATTCAAATATTTCTGCTGACTGAGCGTTGCATCCCCTCACATGCCCCCACCCTGCTTTCAGAGCAGGACCGAGCATTTTCACTCCTCATCCCCCAGGGCAATAGCTGGATGTTGGATGTGAGTTTCTCTGCCTTGCTCACACACAAGTCCCACCTGGCAGCAGCTGCAGGGGCTCCACTGGGGCATTCCCAGGGTCAGCAGCAGATGGGACAGGGGCTGAACGGGCTCCTGGACAGCACAGAGCACAAAGCAACACCCTGGGCCAGCTCCTTGGAGCAGGGGAGCTGCAACTGGGAACGGGGATGAGCTTTGCCAAGTGAATAATTCCTTCCCCATCCCACCCTTTTGGCAAAGCCAGCACCACCTTCCACTTCCAACAAAGGGCATTGGCAGCGCTCTGCCAGGGCAAGGACGTGACCCTTTGCTCACAAGCAGCAGAATTTCAGCCACCACAGCCCAGAGCAGGGTCAGCTCAGGCTCTGCTGCAGATCTCATCTGTCCAGGGACACCACAGACCCCTCCCCAAGCCCCTGTGCCCTGCACAGACACACCTACTGCTGGCCAGAGTCCTCAGCTTGCTGGGCACAGCTGGGAGCTGCACATGGATCACTCCTCTCCTCAGTCACCTGCATAAAGGCCATTAAAATTAACAGAATAATATAAATCTGCCATTGTTTCCCCTCAGCAAAGAGGGAAAGCCAAACCACTGCAAACAGGGGTGGCTCAACAAGGTTTATATTGCCCTGGTAAATGCAGAGGCTGCAAGTTGCATCCAATTCTGAGCAGCTGCATTATCCCTTCCAGGGAACTAATCTGACACACAACCACAGAATTACATTTATATTATAATCTCACTGATGCCATTATGACCAGCCAGAATTTTTTAAAAGTGAGACTTGCCTCACTGCAGACAGATGTGAATTTTTCACATTCTTTCTCTGATTTCCTCACCTAAACATGAGAGGAAGGAAAAGCAGATTCCTCTCCTGGGGCTTGTCCGGCTGCCTCAGGGGAAATGAGGGATTTGTTTACAGGCAGGAGGAAGCAGCTCTGAGGGTTCATCTGAGCAGAGGAAGCAGAGGCAGTGCAGGCAGCTCAGCACTTGACCTCTGCTACCAATGCAGTCGTGCCAAAGGCTTCTGCCCTTTCAGTGTCTGCTGCAAACAGCTCAAATAAAAGCACAGGGAATTATCCAGCCCTTCCAAAGAACCTTCTGCTGCTGAGCCTTTCCCTAAGCCACGGTTCAACTGACCTGGGCAATTAACAGCAAAGCCTCTCCAGCCCAAGCAGCTGCAGAGGAAAATATCCATTTGGCAACCCTGAGACCCGGCAGGGAGTGAGGGGGAGGCAGAGAACGGACTGAGGGATGGATTCTCACGTTGCTTTTAGCATCTCTAAATACCTCCCTCTTCCCCAGATGATAATTTTCTCTCCGAGTCAGGGCTGGAGAGGCAGCTGAGAGTCAGGCAGTGCAGGGGCACAACCCTCCCCCGGGCTTGCACGCCCGGCACACGCGGCTCCACACCCCCAGCACCACGCCAGGGCTTTCCGCTCCTTTTCAGAGTACAAAGAGTGGTTCATCCGAGCTTATCTCTTCTGCAGCCCCACTTCTCCCAGCACAGAATCATCCCCAAAGAATGTTTCAGTAATGCTGCGGTGCTGAATTTCAGAGGGACACTTAATCTTGCCCCAGTGGCTCTCCAGGGCCAACTTTCTGAGCATGAAATATTTAACTGTCCGTGGGCGTCCGCTATGATAATAAAGTGACTGCTAACCAGCCGCTGAAATGAGCGTGTGAGGAGGAGAGCAGGAGCTATCAAATACACAAACCAGCCTAATTACTGTCTTCCTTCCATCCCCATGAACCCCTGGGCACTGCTTACACTCCCCAGCAGCAGGGACCCAGCCACACAACACTTCCAAGGCCTTGGGATAATCAACAGGGAAGAACTGAGAGGAGGAAATCAGGAGAAAGGTTGGTGAAGGGCATTGTTATCAAGTCTTTCTCATTTTGGGGATGTGGAAACGTATCTGGCTTGCCTAAAAGAAACCAAGCCCTGTATTTGAGAAAAAAAGTTTGAAACTACTTGCAATTCTGCTACTCCCCCACTCCAACAAACTTTATCTTTTGGCATTAACACCTTGCAGACTCCCAGGTGAGCGTATGCCTGTGAACGCCTTGTGAGAGTTAGCGGAAGCAATGGAACCCACCCAGGACCCCTGAGGGCGGCGTGGCACAGGGGAACTCCTGCTGCACAGTCATTCCTGGCACAGAGGCTCTTCAGCAAGCTCAGCCTTACCTCATCCCACTCGGAAGCGAAGGACGGGGACTTCTCCAGCCGCTTCTTGCCGGTGCTGCAGTTGGAGAGCGATTCGCTGCGGCTCCCCATGGCATCGTCCTCCGTCGGGGAGCAGGTCAGCAGGTCCGAGTCCGACTTGGACAGGCTGCGGCTGAGTTTGAGCTCGGCTTTGGGCTTGCTGCCCGGGTGGGCTCTGCCCACAGCTCTGTCCCCCTCTGGCTCAGCAGCGCCGGGGTGCTGCTGCTGCTGCTGCACGTGGGGCGTGCCGGCGGCGGCGGGATCCGCCCGGCTGACGTGCTGCACCGTGGCGTACACCACGGTCTGCGTGGGGTCCGGGGAGCTGCTCCGTGCTGCTCCCGACGAGGCTAGCTCAGCATCCTCCAGCTGCATAGCAGTGGGGTGGCTCGTGGCTTCCGTGTCCCCCTTCTCCTCGGAGGAAGCGAGCCTGAAAGGGTCCTCGCTTATCTCGCAGATTGGTGAAGAGCCGTGGAGCAAGCCTGAAAACTGCTCTGGCACCTGGATGTCCTGGCTCTCAGCAGAGTCCTGGCTGCGGCCGCCGCTGTTCCTCCTGTGGTCTTCGAGGGGATGAAAGCAGAGAGGAAGGGGAATTTAAAAACATGGAAGAAGCAGCAGCAAAATTCCAGCTCTCTCCCTCAGCAAGGGAGGGAGAGATCTAAAGAGGGAACAGTTCCGTATTGTTCCGCGTGCTCGACTTGTACCCGAAGTCATGGCATTTATGAAATTCCAAACACTGGCCCGATTTACGCAATCTGGCAGCTCTCCGTGTTTTTTATTCCTGTTAACACTAACTATCAGGCCTTGCTATATAAGGCCAGGAGAAGTGCTAACTATATCCTGCAGAGAGAGCAAGTGAGGTGGGAGCAGCAGGGACGGAGGCTCCTGGAACATCTGATCCCTTTCCATAAAGGCCAAAGCGTTATTTAGAGCCGCGCGCCCGGCTCTTGGCACGGGCTGCAGGGTGGGAAAACGCCTGGACTGCAACCGACCTGCGAGTTCCAAAATCCGCTCCCAAAAAAACCCGCTGCTTCCCTCCCTGGTGGCTTCCGAGTTTAACCTCTCCTCCCTGCTCAGGGGAGAGAAATAAACAGTTTATGCAAGGAAAAAAAGTTTGAGCAAAAAGTCTCTTTTGCAATGAACTGAGCACAGAGTGGTCAGAGCTGGTGGAGCACTGGCTGCCCCAGAAATGTGACACTGGTTCCCAGCTCCTCCTGCCCCAGCAACCTTAATATCAGGTACCAGGGTCCTGCATAAACCATGAAGAATTGACTGATCCCAAGTGCTGAGCGTGCACACACACACACAAACATGCACTCACCTTTGTCACAGCTGAACGAGCAGTTCAACTGCAGAAGCAAAACTTTGTCAAGCAAACAAGTCTAACTTTGGTTTCCTAGGATTCCTTCATCCTTTCAGCATTGCTTGTGAATTTTAACTGATTCCATTTAGCACTGAAGAAACTCTTCAGTCTGAGAACTAAAAATTGATACTGCAAAGGAACAATACAGCGAAACACTCCGATAATGAGGCTCTGAAGGGCAGGGAGGATGTTTGGATCTGAAGAGGAAATCACTGCTTTGCAGACAGCAGCTCTGGGAAGCCAAGGCAAAGGAACCCTCCTTTCCGTGAGCAAAACAGTGAGTTCCACTAAAAGTAGCCTGCTAGCAGCAGCAGAGAGCCCAGCTCAGCTCCCAGCACCTTTCCAGCACCAAGCCTCACCAGGGGATTTTCAAACACCAACACCCACTGGGATTTGTGGTCTGTCCTCACCAGAACTGGACACGAAAGGGCGGAATTAATTATTTGCTTTTCTGTGGGGGTCCCAGGCACTCCATGCCTGATGAGGATGGTGAATCCTCTCGCAGGCACAGGAAGGCCAGGAGCAGCCACAGCCCTCACTGGGATCAAGTGATGTGAGGGATTATCTCATCCTGGATCCTATGAGTTAGAGATTCCAGGACAGTGAAGTAGTTGTTGACTCTCTTGCACAGGCACACAAACCACCAGTTCTGTGACTGGAGCTGCCAAGGGGGAGGCAGGTCCCAGTGCTGGCTGAGAGGCACCAGCAGCAGCACCCCAGATTACAAGGCCAGACTAGCCCCAGTTACTTTGCATAAAGCTCTGAAGCTCCAGTGCTGGAGAGAAACCTCAGAGGATGAACCTCAGAGGAGATCAGATGTGCTGCATTCACAGGACAGACTGGTACTAATGCAAAGCCACACAGAGGTGAGCAAGACAGTCACATAAACCTGTGGGGAAAGAAAAACTTCTGCAGTTTTTCTCCCAACCTCTTCCCTTCCTTGGAAACCATTTCTTCCATGCCCCAGCTGAACCTTTACTGACATTTCTGCTGCAGGCAGAGAGGAGGCTGGCCAAAGTTTGTGCCACGTGCTGTAACACTTGAGTCCAGCCAGAACAAAGTGCTCCAAATCCAGCTCCAGCACCTCACAAAAGGGCTCCTGTTGGACAGGAATCCCAGCCACCCACTCATCTGAGAGCTAAGAGGGACTCTGAAACACAGGGCAGCTGCCAGGGAAGGAAGGGAGTGAGGGCAACAGCACTTGCTCAGAAATTGTGAAAAACATCTTGTAGGAGACATTTCAGAGCCTGCCCTGAAAGCTGCAGACAGAAGAACTAATGTAGAAAGTCATCTCAGTCTTTTTGTCACTGAGGTGCACAGAGCAGGAACATGCAGGGCTCTCCAGGCCTCTCCTTTCAGGGGATCTGAAAGAATCACCCTCCTCCAGGTTGATGTGAGTTACACTCACAAAGGGTCCCTAGCACAGGCACTTCTGCCCAGCTCCCTTCAAGGATTTCACTCCCTTTACTGGTTTTACACCCCCAGCACAGATCATTTGACAGATCCTGCCTTTTCCAGCCCCAGCCTGATGCAGGTCTCACCCACAGGAGAGGCTGCTCCCAACCCTTCCTGGGATCAGGAGCCCTTCCTGGGTACAGACTGCCTGCATCCCAGGCAGAATTCCAGTAAGGGCTTCCCTGCCAGCAGCCTGAGGACTCCAGATATGAAGCACCTCCCTAAACACTCCACACTAAGCTGTAACCACCCTGCCTCCACTGGATTTCTTTCCCTCTGTATCAACAGCAGGATTTGTCTCACAACCCTGGATTAGGAGAATGAAGCTCTTCCTGCAGCTGCTGCCTGCTCAAGCTCCCCAACCTTAAAATCAGTGAGGGCATACAGCAGCCTCTGATCTGCACGTGGAAAAGGCTGCCTGTGTTACATCATGCCAGAATTTGTCAAGTGAGGAGCAGGACAATCTCCCTCCTGTGAAACAGAAGGCCAGAGGAAGAAACTGGCCTTGAGGGGTGCAAAAATATCCTTCACCTACAACAGAGCTGAAGCACAGGCCATTCCAGAGGCAGCTAGCTCGTGGGGAGCCCAGCTGAGGATGGCACACTCCTGTGGTAACCTCACCCAGCTCAGTCATTCCAGACAGAGTTTATTCACCTCAGTTTGTGCTTTTTTGCACTCTCCTCTTCAGAAAGGGCAATGAGACACTGGCCTGCTTAGAGAGATCATTAATGTGATTCTGCACAGCACCAAGACAGCAGAAACATCCCGGGCTTGGGCCCAGGATGTGGGACAGAAGTCTGTCCTCTGTCCACAGTAACACCATGTGAGGACACATAGGCTGTGTGTTTGCATTGTCCTTCATCTCACAGCAAACCAAGAGCTGTCCCCAAACCTCTGCCTGCAATAACCCAGTGTCCCCACAGAACCCCCACAGCAATGTCCACCCTGCTGTTTCAGCAGCCATATTCTGGCTCTCAGAAAAGAGTTCCTTTCAATCTCTCTGCAGTGTGTTCTGGCTTTATTGCTGGCTCATTCCAGCTCTCTGGTCAGCAGCACAGTCACACTGTGCTGGCTGAACCAGTATAACCACACAGAAAATCTCTTACAGGAGGAAGGGCAAAGTGGGGACTTCGAGCTGGACCTCCTATGGAAGCAGCACAATCTCAACAAGTATCAGTTTGTAATAACTACCAGAAGGCACCAAGTCAGTCCTACCTGCACTGGTCACTGCTGACAACACCTGGGTGTGACTCCTGAGAAGCCAAACAGGTCAAAACTCAACTCTTTTCACCCTCCATTTGGTCTCTCTGGAGGCAGGAGCTGAAAAGTCTCCTCCTGGTCACTCCACACACATTCCTCCTCTTTTGCCTTTTTTTTCACACCCTGCTACAGGGCCTGAGTGCCCTGACTTCAGGCATGTGACTGCACACCCAAGTGGATGGGAGAGCATTTGGCTTAAACCACTCCTGATACTCTGCCCAAAACATGAGGCCAGCTTCTCCCAGTGCTCCAGCATGTGACAGCAGGCTGCTCTAACACACACAAAGGCCACCAAAGCCAGTGGATAATGCCACATTCATCTGCTGGCTGGACACAGGACAACTGGCAGCCAGAGGAACAAAGGCAGCTATCACAGATGAAAGGCACCATTAAACCCACGTGCCTGAAATTCAGCCTTTCTGCTGCCCTGAAACGCCCTTTCAACAGCCACAAGAACCCAAGCCCTCCTCTCCTGACCAAAGGCTGCTCCAGAACTCATCCAGAAGGCCAGACCCTCAGACTGAGAGCCAAGGAGCAGTTCAAAGCCATGCTTCAGCCTGTTCTGTGCCTTGGGATTGAGCTGCTGCCTTTGATGCTCCAGGACTCCTCTGACCCAGAGGTGGGAAAATTCTCCAACACCCCAAGTAAGGCTTTGGTCTCTCCCTCAACTCTTAAGTTTAATTCTGCCACTCCTTAAATTTATCTTCTCCCCTCACCATCAGCCACAGTGCTGACTGCATTTAAAGAATGGGAAAGACAGGGAAGATGAGGAAAAACTCAACTGCATCCTTGGATTTCTCCCACTGTAACAGTAGGAAGAGCTCCAGGCTTGTTACCAACACTTTCCATGGAGTGCAAACCATGAAGTCACAGCTTTGATCTTTCCAACTTTACATCAAAAGATGGGACTCTGCTCTGGATCCATAAAAATCTTCCTGCAACCTCTCCTGTCTTCAGGAGTTCAGGGGAGGAGATCTGCATCAAGAACAGGCAGCTTCCTTACTCTGAGGTTTTATTTTAAGCTGACACATAATTAGGACATACCTCCACTCCTACCAATCAAGCCTGGACAGCACAGCCAGGGGAAGGAGTGGAGCAGTTGGAATAACCAGCAATAGCTGCCCACTGATGAAAGCCTATTGCTCAGTGGCTGTTGCCCAAGGACTGTTCCTGGCCCAGACTGCAAAGCACCAACCTGAAAAGCTCTCAAAACTTTCCTCTGGCAGTGAGGGGCTTTGGCAAGTGCTGGTGGGAACACAATGACCTCTTGTGCCACCCAGGAGAGCAGCAGGACCCGAGCAAGGATAGCTATCATGCTGCAAGGAGGGGACAAAAGCTGCAGGTCTGACAAAGCAGTCAGTGAGACATCACCTCAAGTCCTTGTTAGCCCTGTCCATCCTCAGAGGGAGAGGGGTCCCAGTGTGAGAACCCAAACTAAATCCACCCAAATTCCTGCTCAGGACTTCTGAATAAAGCGGAAATCTTTTTCACTCTAAACAAATCTTTTGTTGTTATTGTTGAAGGAAAGCCAAAAAGCCAACAACAGCCAAACACAAGAGACAAGGTGTTCCCAGATGCTTTGTAAAACTCAAAAGTCCTTCACAGGGAGTAGAAATTGCCTCAATATCAACCTGTGTACCCCGTGCTCTCAGACAGTTCTAGTTCTCGCTCTACACATTTTTGTTTTCCTCCTCTGTTAGTTTCCATCTCAAATTAGCTCTAACACAGAGCAGGATGTTGATTTTACAGCAGGATAGCAGAAACCTGCAGCGCCAGCTGGATGGAGAACACGGCTCACTGGAACACTCGTGTTGCTCATCTTCCCTGGCAGAGGCACAGCCTCCAGCCTCTCACCCTCTGCCTTTGCTTGGCCAGGCATGAGATTTGGACATTTCTGAGGTCACGGAGCAGATCCTTGCAATCTCTGAACAGTCCTACAGTGGAGCTGCCCTTCCTCTGTGTACACTCTGTACAGGAACGCTCAGAGCTCTCCTTTACACAGAGATCACCAGGAAACACAACAATCACCCTCCAGCCCCCACCCAGCAGAGACTTTCATTGTTCCACTTGCCCTCTGCCCTCATGTTTTCCTGAAGCACATGCAAGCAAACAGCTCTGCTTTTTGGATGGTCACTCACCTTTTGTTTTCCTGTCCACTGCAACTGGCTTTTTAGTTTCTGCTGTAAGCAACAGCTCGTAGGGGTGTTCCTCTTCCTCAGCTCCACTTCCCCTGCTCTTCCCCCGGGCAGCAGAGGCCTAATGAAGAACAGCACAATGTGGTGCTCTGCAAAGCAATGCTTTGTCCCAGCATAAACCCCACAGCCTCTAAGCCAGGGGTTAAGCAAAGAATTGGCAGAGGCGATACCTTCACTGCGAAGTGTGAGCCAAAATGCAATATTCCCCTTTGGGTTTTTTTAACCCCCTCAAAAAAACCCCACCCAAACTCCTTTAATTTTTAGTATTTCAGGCTGCTGACAGCTTTCCAGCACTGACCAACTGAGCAAGGGCTGCAGACAGCCTGGAGAGGGAAAAGAGCTGAGAGCGTTGTTCCTGCTCATCCCACCTCAGACTCGCTGTTGCTATTGGAATTTGCACAGTCATTCACTTTTTAGCTGCCGGCCCTATTAGGACAAGGCTGGAAAGAACAAAAGCCCAAATCCCCGCCACCCTCTCAGATCTGCATTTCTGACCTCAGGATGTATGGCATATTCAGAACTAAAGAGTCCTCAGGCAGCACTGTATGAACTCAGTTTAACTTCAGGATGTGCAGCAGTGATTGTGCTCATTTAAATCCCCCAAAGCCTCTACTTAGAGCTGGTTTGCAACCCTGGCAGACTCTCCCTGAGCTGTTCTGGAAAGCCACCAGCCATGTGCAGGGATGAGGTTTTGGTGCAGGATCCAGACAAGTCGTGCTGCTCTCACACGTGCTGGTCTGCACTGATGCCAAGGATGATGGGCACTGGATACCCTCGTGTGCCATGCCAGTGCTGAAGGGGGTAACTGGCCACCAGGGCACCCTGCCAGCACAGTCAGCGGCCTTTCAGCACCATCTCCTGGCCAGACCCTGGCAGACTGATGCAAACCTGTCCCAGGAGCTGAACATGATCCAGGAATGCACCCTAAGAGGCTCCAAGAGAGTTGGGGAGGGACATGGAGTGAGAGAAAATTGTGAATGCCCTGGAAGTGTTCAAGACCAGGGCTTGGAGCATCCTGGCTGAGTGGAAGGTATCCCCAGTCCATTGGGACTGGATGATCTTTAAGGTCCCTTCCAGCCCAAACCACTCTGACCCCATGTGTAACTATCTCCAACCACAGTGGGACAAACCCAAGGCAGAAAGCAAACAATCCAAACAATCCCTACCTGCTGCCAGGACAGGGAACAACAGGTCTGAACAAAATGTGCCTCCAGGGAGGGCTCCTACTGCTCAGAGCCCTGGACCTGCCAGTGCCTCACCAGCAGAGCACAGCCCACCTCCTGCTTCTCCCCAGAGTGAAAGCACCAGAGCTACTCCAAGGGCAAACTAGTGCCCACCTGCTGCAACCCAGCCAGGAGCTCTGGAAGCTTAAAGGAGTCTTGGAGAGGCACCCAAGACTCAGCAGCACAGAGGATTCTGATATCCATGTGTTGTTCTGCATGAACCCACCTGGCTTTTAATGTGACTTTCCCAATGGGAGGAAATGGGCCATGTCTGGCATGGGAAATATTTATTTATTCTACCTGTTTTATCAGGATCTGCCAGGCAGATCTGCTCCTTTCCAGGTGAAGGAGCTCATAATGAGCAAATTAGGGAAAAATTCTGACCAGATGGTGGCACAAAACCGTCAGACCAGAACAGCAGGTAAGAGGTTCTGGACAGTGATCTTGGACAAATCCTGCCCAGCAGCAGCCTGTTAGCACAGCAGCAGCCTGGACCTTCAGCCAGGCTCTGGTCCCTCCTGACATTCCTGTGGATGATGATTCCTGTGCTGTCCTCTTTAAGTGCACCAAAGGCAGAAGCTCTCCAGCAGCACACAGTTCCCAGCTTCTACTCTGAACTTTCACAGACCTGGTGACTCTTGATTTTCTCCATCTCTCACCCTTCCAAGCTCCAGGTTCAAATTCACTTAAAACAAAAGATCATTGCTGGAGAAACCTGCTTGCTCTGTGGGCTTTCTTTGTGAGCAGGAGCAACACCACCAGTAAAGCTTTCTCCCAATTCAGCTTTTAGTTCTTCATGTAAAAATGTTCATTGCTAGCAAAGCCCAAAAATAAGATGCTATGAATAATGAGGATGCTCTTTAAGGTGTACTTAATCCACAGCAGAGGACTTTGACAGACTTTTTAAAGGGTAACTCATCTCTTCCTCTCTTCTCCCTCCCCAGAGCTGCAGACCAAACTCCTGGAGCCAACGTGGCGCCTTGTCCTTGATCTGCACTTCCCTTCCGGAGACAAGCAGTAAACAGCTGGAACTGAAGTTTAATTTGACAGTGCAGATTCTCACTCAGCTCCAAACCCAGAAGGTTTCTGCAGATAGTGAAAGGCACCACTTAAGCACCTCCAAACAATTAGCTCCTTTGCCTGTTTGTACCAATGCTCTTCCGTGATGAAAGTGAAGTTTCTTGTTTATGCTCATCTGTTTTGACTGATAGCCCCAGCTTGGCAAGGAATAAAAAGACTACTTTGGAAAAGTAGAGTTTGGCCCAACCCCAGAACGCTCAATGACTAAGTGTCCTGGCTCCAATGGCAGAGCAGGGCTAGAGGGTGGCAGATTGGGATGCTGCAGCAGAGTGTTTACAGCATTCCTGGAGCATGTGCACACCTGCCTGGCCCAGGGAGAGGTGATAAAAGATGGGCAAGAGTCAGAAAAGCAGAGCAGGCCAGGAGGAACAAGCAAAGTAAAAGGATCAGCTCCAAACTCCTCATCAGTGTGTCCAAAAGGTCATTTCCAGGCAGCCACATGCTGCCTGTAAGTTTTGTCACTGAAGTTGGTCACAAATCAAGGTCTCCCCAGCAAGTCACTCTGCCATTTGCCAACAAGATTCCCTTTAATGGACTGTGCTTCCAAAGCCATTAAAGGCAGGACAGCACAGCAGGTGTTTGGTAATTAAACATGGCAAGAAAGCTCAGCAGGAATGGCCAGGGCACGTTTCCCTCCCGCGTGTTTATTGTCATAAACAAGTTCTGCTTCCCAATTACTCCATGACCTGCTGCCCAGCTCTCCTCTGCCAGAGCCAGGCACAGGACTGGGTACCACCCCCTGCATTTGATCAGCAGTGCAGGGATTAATCCACAATGTCACAGCCCAGTTCCTGTTCACACACAGCTCACGGTTTACCCCCTCTCTGCAGTCAGTTCTTCTACAGCAGGCCACGTTCACCCGGGTCTCATGTGGATTTGACACTCTCCAGAAAACAGAGCTCATTTATGCCTTGCAGAACTCCAGCAGATCAGCACACTCAAAGAAAGCACCTGCAGAAGCAGAGCCTGCTCTGACAGCAGAGGTGGCACACGCTCCATGAGCTCCACACACAACCCACTGCCTTTGGGAGAGCACAGAAATCCACAGCATTTGGATTTGCTTTGAAGCTTTTCCTGGGTGTCAGCAGAAGTTGCCAAGGCACACTTGTGGTTTCCCAGAGCTGTGTCTCTCAGAGTCCTTACATCTGAGGTTCACAGCAGGTGAATAAGATGAGCAACAGGAAGCCCCAGCAGCAACAATGTGAAATGGGAGAGCTTGAATTCCATCAGAATGCAGCTCACATGCACTGACCCCTGCAGCTTTAACACATGCTGGGCCAGATCCTCAGCTGAATTCAAGCCCCTGATCCCTGCTCATGTCAGTGGGACCCACTCCTGCACAGCTGGGAGCTCAGAGGAAGCAGGAACTCCCAGCCCCTCTGTGCTCCAGTCCAGCTGAAGATGCCTGTGGTGGGATCATTACTAGAGGGCAATGGTCCACATCCCAACGTGGGTCAGAAAAATCTCTTCCTATGGGAATTCTCAGCCAAGAATAGGAAAGTAAGGCTGAAGGTCAACTCTGAGGTGCCCTGGAAGAACCGGACAAAGGAAGTTCCCATGGCAAGGGACAGCAGCAATGCTGAGGAGGGAATACTTCACATTCACAGCCCAACGAGCACAGGAGCTAACAGCACCCTTGGCTCCTCCCAAACTATTTAAACTGACGTTTAAACCACTCTCCCATGAAACACCCCAGAGCAAGCCCCATGTACCTCACTGGGAGCACTGTGGCCTGTCTTCTTCTCCACATTCTGCTCCTCCTCTTCATCAGGCGGGGGCTTGGCTGGTGGGGGAGGACGTTCTCTCTGCAGGTGAGACAGACACTGTCAGCTCATCCCTTCAGCCCCCCAGCTCTATGTCCCCACTGCTGTGGATGCAGCAAGAACCTCTTAAATTAATCTGGGTAGAAGAGAAGTTTAGCCCTAACAGCCCAGAGCTGGGCAATGGCTGCTGCCTTTCCTCCTCCTCTTCCTCAGGACACTGATCTGGTCCCACTGGTCTCACTCAGACCCAAACCAGCATCTCCAGAGCATTACACAGGGCAGTGAGCAACGAGCTGATCAGAATAAAGGGTTTGTGGCTTAGTGAAACTGATCCCAGAGGCACCTTTTATAGTGGAAAACTCCAGGGATCAAGAAACTAAGCTGCACTGCTCTCCTCCAATATGCCAGGATTGCAACTGGGCAGCTGGAGCTGCTGCCTGGTCCCGAGCACATCCCAGGGCCACCTCCTGCCCAGCCACAGCTCCATCTAATGGCAAAGGGAGCAGCAGAGCTGCACTGCTCAAACTCCAGCCAGCTACTGCAGCATGTCCCTCTTCCTGCTCTCCTTTCACTGCAGTTCAGCTCTTGTCTTTCCTTACTTGTGACAGAACTGAGCTCATTTCACCATCAGCACAGGACAGTGACAAGATCTGACCAGTAACAGGACTGCCAGAGAGATCTGCCCAAAATGTGCACCATCTAAAGCTTATGTCTCATTTCTATTCTGCTTGCTCTCAGCACAAGCCAAAGGCTGCACCTCTTTGCACAGAGGGGAACCATGGTTACTGTGCCCCCAGCAGTTTAATTGTTCACTGCTGCTCTGCCTTTTGTCCAAAAAAGCCTCCACAGAGCAGGCTTTGGAAAACCAACCAGAACACAGAGCCTGAAGCTGACCCAGCACTGCAGGGCCCGTGTCCCATCTGCCCCACAGCAGCCTTCCTGCTGATTGCTACCAGGGCAGCAGATGCAGCTGACAGAAGGTGAGGAAGACTTCTCTGGGGACAGTTCCAGGAGCTCTGTGCTGCTTTGTAAAGCCTGGAGTACCCTCTACAGAGCTTTGCAAGTAATACACAAAAAAAAAACCCCTTCCACTGCCAACTAGTTTCCAACAGGTTATTACAGATAATTTCCTGATAGCTTTAGCTGTGGTAAAGCAGTGAGACATGAGAAAATGCTTCACACAAGTCTCCAGAACTTTTGTCAGGATAAGAAGTCAGCCCTTCTGCAAATTGTAATCTCCTGACAGACCAAGATCCACTGGCACCTGTGCACTGCCAGAAAACAGAAGGATGCAACACAAGGAGAAATGAAGAAGTTAATTTCTTTTAAGTTCATTTCTTTTGGTTTTAGGCAAACCCAGTGAACAGGGCAGGGAAGGAGAGGCACCTGCCTGCTCTCATCAACATCAGGGAAGGATTTAAAGCCTTCCTCAAGCTTGGGCAGCCTGCTGCAAGACCCCACCCTGCAGGTCAGCCCCCTGTGCCTCTAGGGCAAGCAGGGGGAGCTACATACAGGCCTGACTGCAGCTGCTTTGAGGCCACTGGGCTCAGCTTCCTTGTTCCCAGAGTCGCGGTCGGACGACCTCCCGCTGGCCAGGCTGTCCAGGGAGTGGCAGGACGTGGCGTTGTACAGAGCCTCATAGGGGCTCTCCTCTTCAGGGTTCACATCGAAATCCATGATCAGCTCCGTGACAGCTTTGTCCACGTCACCTGCAGGGGGAAGAGAGATGGGGTTGTCCCCTGGATCTCCTGGCATGGTGCTGGCAGGGAGAGGAATGCTGGTGATGCCCACCCTGAGACGTCCGGCCTGAGGGCTCGGTGGCTGGGGCGAGCAGGGCTGGAGCAGATTTCTCCACAGCTTTGGCACTTTTCTTCCCAACGGTGTAATCTGCAAGGGGGGTGGGGGACAGGGTCAGCTCACGTCAATCTGGCTTTCTGTCCCCTTCAGCACATGGCACTTCCTCCCTCGTGGGTGGAAGGCCAACTGTCAGCTTATTAAGTGTCCAAAAAAAAAACCACAACATTATTAAAACTTGCAGCTCAGATCCCAAAATAGAAGCAGGCGGCCTCTTAAATCACAGGCACAAGGGTAGGGATGGTTCTTTGAACTTTCAGAGTCTTTAATCAGAAAGCTGCAAAGCTGCTGCACGGACACAGAGTCACGGAGCAAATTTGTGCTGTAGATACAAACTCCATCACTGAACAGAGTCATAACAAGAGAAACCAATTCCAGCTGCAGCCCCCAACCACAGGCAAAGCCAAACACATTCAGCTGATGTAACATCCAACAGCAGCTCCCTCCTGGGGAAAACTAACAGCCTTTATCTGCAACACCTTCAGTTTTAAAGCCCATCTTTGTCTTCAGTTTCAGAATAAAGCTCAAACATTCCAGCCTCACAGGCACAGCTTAGTTAAAAGTCTGAGAAGTGCTTTGAACCTGCAAAGCTCCCAAATGCTCAGCATGAATAACACACCCCAGCTCCAAATCCTTCTGATCCTCCCCACAGCTGAGAGGAAATGCAGACAGCGTAATTACAAGGTATGAATTTAGCCAAGATGTCACATTTCATTCCCGAATTTGGACAGACACAATGGACCAAGCTCCTTTACAAAACACAAGTAATCAAGGCCTTTTCTGTAAATCTCATCTGCAAATTCCATGCCCAAGCCTCACAAGGAGGCGAGGAGCAGGATGTGAGATCTGTGGACAGTGATTTGCCTACACAGACATGTAAAGGGGAGTTACACCAGAACCATTTCTAAAGCTGTTACTTTGCATTCTGCAAGCAGATTTAGGCTATCCTTAATTTTAATTAACTTCTAAAGTGAGCTAAACAAAGCTCAATTAAGCCCATTTAAACTGTAAAAGTCACGCCACACTCTCTCAGCAAAGGGCTAATCCTCCTAAATCCCCCCAAGTCCTCCTCCAAACATTTGGTCTGGAGAAGCTCACCCCAGTGTTTCAGCACTGGTTCTTCCAACACAGCCTGAAACTGCCTTGATTTCAGCACTCTCCAGGTCTAGAAAAGCACATCCTGTACCTGCCCTGGCAGAAGCAGCACCCCAAGCTTTCCCCTCCTCCCCAGAGGCAGAGCTGCATTACCCACCTTCAATGAGAGCTGCTATGTGCTGGCTTTTCTGGGAAGGAAGCTCCCTCACAATGTCCAGAGCAGTCAGGCCTCTGTTATCCTTTATGTTCACATCAATACCTGTGGCCACAGGGGTACAGAGGGCAAAAGCAAGAATATTGTCTAACTATGTGCAGGTTTGTGTATTTCATCAAGTCACGTTTGTGATCAGCACTGGGGGGAGCTAAAAGGCACTAGAGACAAATCTAAAGCCAAACTCCAAGAGCCAACTTCTGCTATATCCTGCTCCAAGGAGCTCTGACAGCTGGATGGAGAAACCTGCTGCACTAGAAAGGGATTTCCTCAAGCTCTGGGTGAAGGGATCACCACATTAGTGCTTCAAAGGGGGAACATTCTCTCACCTGCAGCCAGCAATATTTGTACCACATCTGTCTTGCCAAACAAAGCAGCTTCGTGCAAAGCACTGCCTTTTTCAGTCTGCAAATTAAATGGAAACATAGCATGAAGCCAGACAGCAGGGAATGGTGAGGGAGGCATGGCTTAGAGGGTTACAGAAGCAATAAATACACGGCGTTGTACACAAGGTGTGGGCAGCACTACCTATGGCTGAGGATGGACTGTCAACGTTATTACAATGCTGAGGATGTGGGATGGAAAAATGGGGATGGTTCCATCAGAGACACCAAGAAAGGGCCTTCTACAGCTTGGCAAGAGGTCATGTCCTGACAAGGAAAAACAAGACCCACATCCAAGCCATTGCTGTGAAAACAGCACATTCACAAGTGGCTTGATAGGAAGAGACATGTTTGCCTATCAAGAGCTCGCAGCACTGCAGGGCAGCACGGCCACAGGGTCTGTCTCTCTCACTCTGTGTCTGGGGCTTTGCCCAGCCCCTGAGCAGGCGTGAGGCATGCACAGCAGCCGAGTCCCTCCGGGCAGCCTCCCCCAGCAACCCAGAGCTGCAGAGACAGCCCAGCAGAACACAAAGCTCTCCTCAGCTCCTGCGAGCGCTCCCTCTGCGAGGAGAATTGGTGGAGCTCTCCAATCCCCAGCCCCGCTCAGCCACAGCACATACCTGGTAGTTGCTGTCCATGCCAGCATCCAGCAGGACGTGGACCACAGCTTTGTGACCGTTCCTGGCTGCCAGGTGCAGCGGGGTGTGCTTCTTAGTGTTGCAGCTCAGCAGGTTGGGGTGGGCGTTCAAGAGCATCTTGACCACTTCCAGCCTCCCGTAGAGCGCCGCCAGGTCCAGGGGGGTCTCGAACTTGTTGTTGCGCATGGTGGGGTCGGTGAGCTCCTCCAGCAGCACCTTCACCACCTCGGTGTGGCCGTGCTGGGCCGCGCAGTGCAGCGCTGTCTCGTTGTCGTTGTTCTGAGGGGCACAAGGGGCAGCGCGTCAGGGCCGGGCCGCCCTCACGCTCCGACATTTAAATCCAAAAAATGAGACCAAAAAAAAAGCACTGGGGAAGCAGAGAGCCCAGTCTGAAGCAGCCTGAGCAATGTGTCACCGTCTCCATGGGTGTTTAGTGTCCCCTCACAAGGTCATTGGTCGGCCAGCCCAGCCACAGCTTCAGGGATGTGCAGAGCAACGCGCTGCAGCTGTGGGAAAGAGGGACTACAGAGGGACAGCCTGCTCTCCAAGCACCAGGGCAGAATCCAGGGGCCATGCTGAAGTTTAAGGGGTGTTCAGCCATATCCAGGTTCCCATAAATGCTGCTGGCACCCGGGAAAGGCAGTCTGGTGTCTTGGCAGCATCCCACACTTCAGGGTGCCACAAAAATAAAAGGCAGGCAGCCTGTTGTGTGAATTCTATTTGCTGGAGCTTCATCATAACTTTAGATTTAAACTTCAATTGTTTCAAATCCTACTTATCCTGGTTATAACAGTCATTCCACCTCTGCAATTCTGGCTGTTTAGAGACAGGGTGCACCCAGACCCATGCAATTTGTGAACCAGAGAACCGTGCAATTCCACCACTGCAGGAACAAGCCAGGGCTCAGGTCAGCTGAGGGAAGCAATGTCTCAGTGATAAGGGAGCACCCTCAGCTGGAAGCCAGACCCAAACCAGAGCGTGCAGGAGCAGCCAGGCTAAGAACCAGCAATGCAAAGCCCAAAGATGAGCAATCCAACACCCCACATGTGTAGGTGCAAAATAGGAACATGGCCAGATCTAACAGAGCCTTTTCTCAAATTAAGTTCCTCTCAAGTTTCTAGTTTTACTACTGTGTGTCATCCAGATTCTGGTATAAGCACTTTAGAAACAACTATCTGACAATATAACCCCCCCAAAAATTTAATACAGTTACACACTTCAACTGAGAGAATCGTGGTTGAATTTGTCATTTTAACAACATTTCCAATAAAATAAACAGAACGTTCTTGTCCTGCTGGAGGCAGCAGCACCACTGCAGAAGGGAATTTGATCCCTGCCTGCTGTGAGAGCACACACATGCCTCGGGACACTGCTCAGTATTTTGCACCATGTCACAAACTCGTGAGGCTGCACGAGCACCCGGATCCTGCTGAGGGGCTCAGCCACTCTCAGGCTCCCAGGAGTCCTGTCAATCCCCCAGCTGTTTGTAGCTGGCTTTTGCATCACTTCTCAGCCACGGGCAAAGCAGGAGGGGAGCAGGAGCTGGGAGAGGCTCTGGCAGCTGCAGCTTGCAGGGCAGTGAAGGGAAGGAGCAGAACCAGGCACGTGCAGGGGGAGAGGGCAAACGGGGCAAAGCATCACTGCCAGCACAGAAGGTCCAAGGCAAACAGGCTCCATCCTGGGGGGAGGCACAGACACGTGGACAGAGGGTACTGCAGGATACACAAGTCTGCACAAAAAATATACAAAGGGAGTGAGAGGGGACAGAGTAGAGAACATCAGAGCTCACACCTGCCCCTCAGCTCACACTGCTGCTCTCGGGCACTCACAGGGCTGGCAAATCCCATTATTCCTGTTTGGCAGGGCTGGGAGTGCAGGGATCAGGGAGCCCGCCACAGCTGGGCACAGGCTCTCAGCCTGCCCCGTGGCACGAGGAATCCTCACTGCCAGGCTTGATGAGCCCAGCCCCTTGAGGAGCAGTGGATCCCCAGAGCTGTGGGGGCACAATCTGCTCGTGCCAGGCCAGCCCTGGTCCTGGGGATTTCCCTGGCTAGGACTGCCCCCCTCTCCTTTCTCCCTAGCACAGGGTATGTATGCCTCAGAGGGCTTTAGAGCATTCAGTAGCTCCAAGCACCTGCCTGAGGGCTCAGAAATGGGAACACAACACCGTTTCAAAACATAATTGTTGGAGACTTCCCTCATCTTCCCTGCAATTCAGTTCAATTTTCACTAAGCAGATTGGGGCTCCAATGCTCGAAGCAAAATCCCCAGACTTTCCTCCTGCAGCAGAGATCACCAGGCAATAAAACTCCCCTGAATCATCACAGCGAGTCTCTCCCAATTCCAGACTGTGCAGTGGAAACTCCCACTATTGCCTGAGTCTTTACTGCCTCCATTTTGGGAGAGTTTTGAGCAGCCAAAAATACTACAGCTCTTCCAGGCAGGGGAGTTTGCTCCCTTCCTGCATCACCTCTCCAGGCACAAACCAGTGCTCAGACCTACAGATGGATCAGAGATGGAAAAGGAAAATTCCATTCCAGCTGCCAGAAGGCACATGGCTTCAAATTTCAGAACTACTTAGAAAAATAGAGCACTCAGGAGGGCTGAGGGGCTGCATTCCTGCAGGAATCCTTGCATCCCCCCAGCTCTCAGCTGGAAGAGAGGAGCTGGGAGCAATGCCCATCTGCAGAGCACAAACAGGACATGAGCAGGGATGGTTCTGCTTTCTTATGTGCTCCAGCACAGGTTACAAGGCCTGTTAATGTGATACCACTCACCACACACAGCCCTGCTGCTCCTCACTCCATGCTCAAGTGGAAATCCACAGCTCCTTCAAGTGCTGTGTCCATTCTGCACCCCCTGCTCCCAACACACAGCTCTGACTGAGCACTTGGTTTGAATAAGGGAAAGATTTCTGACCTGCAAAGATCTGAAAGGTTGAACAAACTGCCAAAGAAAGGCCACAGAGCTGTCCTTCTCTCAATTTTTTGGGAAATGGTGGGCAAACCCTGGTCAGGAATGGTGAAAGGAGACTTGATCCTGCCCAGGGCTGGGGAACGTGGCTACACGGCCCTTCAGTCCCACCCACCTTATTTCTAAGATTCCTTGGTAGGATTTTTTCAGTGGCTGAGTGTCCACAGAGTCCTGCCCTATTGACAATCTGCTGTTTGGCTGCTCCTGAGAAAATGCCAGTCTGTGTGACAGGTACAACTCCACATCTCCTCACCACAGCTGGCCAGGAAGTGGTGCAAAGCTGCTCACAACTTGTGATGAACCCAACACCTGTGTGTAAATAATCTCTCTCTCTTTAAAACCAAAGCAGATTCCCTGAATCTGTCTTGCTCTAGAGAGCACCTCAGCCATTGTGAACACTGAACTGAGGTTTTAAATAATGCACTTCTCCACAGTAGAAAACCCAAATTAGCAGACTCTGTAAACAAAATTCACAAAAAAGGGAACTCCCTGAATATTCCCTCTTTACATTCCTTCTTCATTCAACATCCCAGTACTGGAGTGTGTAAGATTTTACTTGGTTATTGACAATGTTTTAGAAAGCTCCTTTCAGGCAACTGAACTGGATCCAAAATAACTGGCTGGAAGCAGCTGTGGCATGGTGGCTTATGGCAGAGGTGTCTCAGGACAGAGCAGCAGATTGTTTGCCACCCCTGGATTGTAGATTCACTAGAAATTAAACTGAAAAATGGTGTCTGAGAAACCACCACCAGGAATTTGATCTTCAATATCCCCGTATGGATAGGAAGCTTCTTCAACAGCTCAGTCTCAGCACATTGCATAAGCTGATGTTGTGTCTTTTGTAGCTCAAAACAACTGAAAACAAGAGAGGAGCAAAACAGGCCAGAAAACAGGAACAGGAGACCAGGGCTGAAGGGTCAAATGACACCACAGACTGAACATCAAAAGAGAGACTGATGTAATAAGCAGGACATGGAGGACTTGGGAAGGGAGGCAGGAACATCACTGCCCTCCCTTCTCCCCACCACCACCACCACAGGAATTAACTGTCCATTCAAACAACACACAGAGCATTATGCATGGTAGGAGAAAAGGCATAAAAACTCACTCCAAACAGCCCACAGAGAAAATGCAACCATGGTTAAGCAGGGGAGAAAAAAAATCCTTCTCTTTGCATTTATCAGCAACATCAGCACATGAAACAAAACCTAGAACATTTAATTGAGGTAACATTACCTTTGGGAAGTCATCCAGCCCAATCAAGCAAACTGACCATCACTGCGAGTCCTACAAGGCTAAGCAAGGAAGGAGCCCCCAGGAAAGTAAGGAAAAGCTTTCCTTTAATTATGTTTCTACAACTGCTTTGAAGAGAGAAACCCACAGTAAATCAATGGTCCCATTTTGCTTTTCCCCAAGCAGCTGCAAAGTGAACAGGTATTATTGCACCTGGAAGCACGCGAGTGCAGCTTGGAGTGATGATGCAGTGAAATGCTGGCAGCAAAGTACACACCTTGGCATTGATATATGGGTCAAAGGGGCCGTACTTTTTGAGTTCTTTGATCTCAAGAGCATTCTACAAAAAGGAAGAGGAGAAAGAAAAAAATGTGATAATGAAATGGGTGAGATACAGCAACAAAGCAATGGGTGACTCCGAGGGGTGGAATGGCAGGACACAGCATCTTGTTCCAGGCAGAGCCATGGCCAGCAGAAGCCATTCCAGCTGGGATTGCTGTAACCTGGACCAGGCTCCAAGCACAGCCTCCTCAGCTGACTTCTCTCAATTAACAGGGTTCCTACCAAACAGACATTAATGAAACATTACCTGCAAGGTTCATACTAAGCTCTGGATTTTTGCAAAGATCACTCCTCTAGCTGCTCTACTCAGAGCACAGCATTCACACTATGGGCTCTCACACAATTCTTGTCAGATTCATTGAAAGGGTTACCTGCACTCAAGCCCATGTAATCAGACTGAGTGCCTGCAGCTTTGCCTGGAGACATCCTTAACCACAGCTCCAACTGCAAAACTGCCACCAGAGACATCAGAACACACATTCCTCATGATTCCTGCTCCGTAGAGGAATGACAGAGGGTTGCATTACAACCAGATTTTTCATTCCATGATGTTTTAGCAGCAGTTATCCCTGGGGCAGCCTGGTGCATCGATTTACCCATCCTGGGAAACTCCAGTGTGGCACTTGGGTCCCCACAAAGAAGGACTGGCACTCCTAAACCTGCCTGTGAGTTTGCTCCCCAGCTTCTGGAAAACTACCATGGAGCAAATCAACAGAAGGGACTCCACAGCTGCTCACCCTGACTGTGAGCTGAACTCAGGCCAGGGTGTCTGACCCACCTGGGTATTACCTCTGGAACGAATGTCCAGGTTTAGCCAGCTGGCACCAAGGCAGGCAAACCCATTTTGGTTTATTTCTTTCCTCCTGAAAGAACACCTGAGTGGTTTAGGAGTTGATTCCCATGGTCTTCAGATGCTCCTGCCTTAGGGACAGGACAAGCACAGCCCACTGCAGCTTTAGCCACTGCTCTGGGCCTGTCACTGTGCTAGACTCACCCAGGAGGGGCAGCTCAGTGGCAGCACTCAGCTGGCCTCATCCATGAAACCAGTTCCTGCAAACAAAATTCTGCAACAACAGGAATATTTGGGCCTTCCAGCAGTAGCATTTCAGAAGTTCCCTGGAATTTAAGACACCTCTGATGTCCATGGGCAGTTCCAAAGGAGCCAGCCCTCTGCAGGGGACACAGCTGCCTTGTACCCCTCACTCCCTCTGCACCCCAGACCAAAACCATCAGCTTGACAAAAGGAACAAATCCAAGAGGCTTTTTTTTTTTTTTTTTTGCCTGATTGCAAAAATAATTCTTTAAGATTAAGCTAGGGATTTATCTGGGGGCAAGTAGTGTTAAAATTATCTTAGAACTTACAAATTAGTGAACTGGAGCAAGTGCCAGAGACAAGCCAGGAGAGCAGCTAAGAGAGCACGGCCAAAGAGACTGAACAAAGCTGCTTGGATTAGTTCCCAAAGGAGGGAGCCAATGGATCCTCTGCAGAACTAGAAACCTGCTCAGCTATCCAGCAGCTGAAAGGAAAACTGTGGGTTAGTTTTAGAAGCCCAGAAGCAGGAGACCACATCCTAAGTGCTGAGCAGTTCTCACAATTATGTGTCTGTCTATGAAACTTAAATACCTTTTCATCCTACCACTAACTCAGAACTGAATGTGTTGCTTTAGGCAGTGCCCCTCCTACCCCACCAGCAAGTAGGACCTTACAACCACTGCTACTGGTTTGGGAAGGGTCAGGAGTCAGCTGAAGGAGTCTCTCTCCATGCCAGGGAAGTGATTCAATGATACAACAGAGAAAATCAGGCAGACCTGCTCATTCACTTTGGTGTGTGAAGGGCCCTGGTGGATGAGGAGCTTCACTATGTCAGCATCTCCCTTCCAGGCTGCCAAGTGCAGGGGGTAACAGCCCTTACAGTCTGCCACGTTGGTGAGCGCGTCGTTCCTCAGCAGAACCTCCACAACATCCCTGCAAGAGACAGCAGCTTCAGTGAGACATTCAGTCCTTGTTTCACAGCTCACACTCTGCAGCAAATACTGAACGGGAAGTTAATCTGAACAGGAGTGTTTCAGAGAGCCTCTTGAAATGGGATTTGTAAGTGTTCCTATTAAACGCTGCCAAAGGAAATGAAAAAAAAAGGAAATAAATAATGGTGAGATGAGCTCAGGGAGGATCCCCATTAACTCCACACTAATGGAGCTGAACAGGGGCTGAAGTCAGCCACAAGCCTCTGCTGCACAGTGAACTGCACCAGCACAACGAGGGTGAATACAGATTTTAACTCTATTTGATTTCTCAGTATCTCAGGCAGCAATGAGAAACACAAGATTTACCACACTGACTAAAAAATGTGATATGCACACGAGGCAACTGTGAAGTGGTGCAGGCCCAGAGCACCCTGGACACCAGGAAGACTGCAGGGACAGTCACCAGGGGAGCTCCTTTCACACCGTGTTACAGCTTACCCAAATTGCTTAGGAACAAAAGGGTGGTTGAAAACCTCAGCGTTTGATGCAACATCACCCAGCAGCCAAAGCACTGACATTCTCCAGTTCCCCTGAAGATGGAGTAGTGCTGCACCAGTGCCTCAGCTGGTGAATGAGCACACAAGGGTGGCCAGGGAAGCACAAAGCATCCACCCCTGGGAGCAGGACTCACTTATGGCCGTTCAGAGCAGCGTGGTGCAGCGGGGTGTATCCTGTGCTGTCCACACAGTTCACGTTCGGCCCCCTCCAGATGCTGCAAGACAAAAAACACACAGGGAACACTTAGGCAGACACCAGACAGGGACAGGGCTGGCACAGCTCTCACACCAAGGTACCTGACAGCACACGGAGCACAGAGCAGAGGGGGCAGCACATGGAATCTCTGCTCTGCTTCACCTCACCCTCCTGCTCTCCAGTCAGAGCTGCCACTGCTCACATCCTTCAGCCACACTTGCCAAAAAGCATCTTCAGAGGAACGTGTGTCTATCAGACTGAACCACAGGAGACAGCAAACCCTCGGCCCACTGCTAATTCACACCCCACAGAAGAATTCTGATGGCTCTGGGAAACTGTCCTTCTCCACAGCAAGAGTCACAAGGGGTGGGTGTAAGTCAAAGGCTGTGGGATGCAGAGTCTGCTCTTGGTCACCACTGTGATTCCACAGTGACTTCTCACTGTCCCAAAATCACTTCCATCTGTCAGCTCTTGGCAGTCTGTACCAAAGAGTAGGTGGTCTCCCAGCACTTCTGAGAGCATTAACTTCCCTCCCTTGCTCACAAGTCAAGTAGCACAGATTTAAGCATTAACCCTGGCAAGGATTACTCTTCCCCAGCCCCTGCAGGGTGTCCTGTTCACATCAGCACAGGATGGCACAAGCAAGAGGCCAGTGCTGCTCCTGAGCTTGCTGTAGGAGTGTGGTGGCTGCTGTCCCTCCCCAGGGCCAGCACCCTCTCCCAGAAACAGGCATGAAACTCAAACCAGTACATTCTTATAAGCAAACTGGAGCTGTTCAGTTCTCCAGTACCACCCATCATCTGTGTGTGCTGGCCTGTTTTACACACCAACCTTTTAGGAATTACACAGGGCTTATTACAAGCCCTGAAAATCCCACTAATGCTAATGAGGTGCATTTTCCTGCTTTGTTTTCTTTGGGGGTAAAACCTAACAGCACCCTCTGATCCCCAGCTGAAATGGTTTAAAATCAGCCAGCTGTGGCTCTGTTTGAAGCTGGCCTTCTCTGAGGAATCCTTTTCCTCCCCAGTATGAAATAACAACGACTCACATGGCACAGGGGCTTTCTAGAACAGCAGCCAGCACTGGGGGCTGCCAGCCTGGAGCAGCTCAGTGCCAGCCAGCAGGAAAGGCACCAAAGCAAACCAGCAGGGATCTCCTGCAGACTGAGTGAACTCCAGGAGGGAACGAAGAGCAGGCTCACCAAGGAGCACGTTTCAGTGGGAAATGGAAAGTCTGTCCCTGTCCCTTCCAAGGGACTCCAGATCTGCAGAGCATTATAAAAGGCTTTGCAGTCTAGAGAAGAACCCGAGCTCTGCTAGAGGAGAGGCAGCTAAGGGGAAACCTTATCCAAGAGGACAGGCAAGTGAGCCACAAAATCCAATTTGCAAAGGATGAGAGGCTTATCCTGAGGCATCCTGCACATCACACACCATCCTGTGCTCCAGGAGGATACACACATGCAGTGCACCTCCAGCACTGACAACACTGCTCACAGGATGATGGCTTAAACGACATGCAGAAGGTCGGTGAGACACCAAAAACACCACCCAGGGTGTGTGGAGTGCTCTGCCCAATGCAGGCTGCAGTCCTGTAGCATGAAGGGGACTGAGCAGCACTCAGCTCTGGTTTGCTCCTGCAGTGTGGTTGCCCAAATAATTTATTGCTGGATTTAACATGGCAATTAATGGTTAGAACTAGTGTCAGAAAGCCTCGTGTGCAGTCTGGAGCAGTTCTGACACTGCACCTGTGCTGCTCTGCTTGGGCTGTAACCTGGGCAGTGCCAGCGTCCCGTGGTTTTACACATTAAACTGAGCTGTGTTTGGAAGCTGAGCTCAAACTGCTCGAGGGTGAGCACATGAAAAACCAGCAGCAATTAACACAAATGTTTCTTTCAGCTGAAGTTATGAAATGAGGAAAACCAGGGTCAGTGGTGCAGTGGGCAGGGCTGGGGACCAGAGCCTGGGGCATCTGTCCCCATTGGAGCGTGGTGTCCCCATGATAAAACACTTCCTTGGAAATCTCCAGGTCAGTGCTTTACAGTAAAATGCAAAGTTTGTTCAAGGAGCTCAGAGCAGGAGAAAAGCTGGAGGCCAGGAGGGAGCTGGCAAAGCACTGAGTGCTGGGTGCTGCAGAAATCAACTGCCAGGATCTAAAGATATTTTAAAAAACCATCTGCTGTGTCCTCTCCTCCCCTTTGCCTTTTTATTCCTGCAAATAAAGAAAGCTTTTATCAAAGAAAGGTCAAATCACCCATAAGATCAGACTGGAAGGATCCAAGAGGAGAACTATTTATATTTGGATGTGGGGACTGCAGCGAAGTACATCACTGCCTTCCCTCCTCTTCCTCTACAGCTCTGCCAGAAAGGCCATACAATTCTCCTGAGGTGTGGAAACAGGGTGCTGAGAAAGGCAGCTCACAAAGCCCAGAACTCTCTGTGACTTTGGGCTGTTTCTGATTTCTAAACAGAAACCCCAATGGCAGCACAGGCAGGAGGCTGCTGTAAATACAGTCCCCAGTAAAGGTCTGGAGCCAATTTGACCACTGCTGCTTTTTGATTGCTTTTCCCCCTCAATTCCCCAAAACCTCTTCACATCAAGAAGGGGTTACTTACACCCTGTGGTCTGTTCTCAAAGGGTTACCCAGGGCTCACCTGCCCTTTGCTGCACCAGGGCAGCATCTGAAGATGCTCCTGATGACATCTGCTTAAGACAATTAAGACTGAACATTGAGGACATCAGGAAAGCTCTGAAAACAGCAAAATCTGCTCCATTTGAACTATTTCTTCTGCTCAGTTTTCTCTTGCTTTATGATTCAGCAAGGCCTTAAATAAAACTTCCTGCTTGTGAAAACTGCTGAATAAAGCACATGCTTTAGGTCACAGTAAAATCCCAAAGTACCTTTAAACAGGACCACTTTTGTCCTCTTGCTTTTCCATTTCTTTCTTCCCAACTGCAGAAGTAACTTTTCTCACAAAACCACCCCAGGCAAGGAGCTAAAGCAGGGCCAAGCCTAGAGAACAACGTGGTGTTTTCAGCTCAAATGATGAACCTTTGGGGCTGGTCTCTGGTCTCACTAACATGGGTTAAGGAAACACCAGGAGAGCTCAAGGTGCTTGTGCAGAGGCCATGGACCCCCTTTATTTACACACCCAACACCTACAACAAAAAGCAAGATGAAACACAAGCAAACACGAGTGGCTTGGCCCAAAGGCACCAGGAAGTTTCCCCAGATGTTTGTGTACTGCACTCAAAGCCTTGGAGACAGTGTCAGGAGGGCAGTGAGGGCTGGAGGCGGATCCCCTCGAGTCCATTGCCCAGAGGCCACCACAGCAGGTCAGTCACACAGCCCAGCAATCCACATCCACACAAGCACTGCATTCCTGCGACCCTTGCTTGGTATTTCCTGCTTACAGAGGGAACACAAACAACCCAAAGGCTTGGGCAAGGCCTCAGGGTTAGGAAGCTGCTTATGTTCTTCTGAAACGTGTGAGGAAGGCACTGCTGCAGCCACCGTGCCAGCAGGCAGGGTTGGGCATGGTGGGATTCCAACAGAGCAGGGACCCTGCTTCTCATGCACCCCAACCACCAGATACCACAACAGCTTTTATAAACACATGGCTGATGCAAGGCTGGAGGAGATGAAAGCAGTGCATTGCTGGGGCAAGGGACTCTCAGCTCCTCCTGGCAGGCTTTGAGAAAGCCCAAGGAGAACAGCTGGTCAGACTCCAGCTGCTGGAGTGGCTGCAGAGGAAGCCAAAGCCATGAGCTTCTGCACTCCTCAACTTCTTGGCCCAGATGTTAATTTGCTATAAGAAAAGTGGGTAGATTTTCCTCAAAGTCAAAGGGTCATGAGCTCAAGATGCCAGAATGGACAGGGAAAAGCAGGGACCACCACAAAGCACAAAGGCAGGACAGAAGTGACAGAAGTGACCCAGCTGACATGGCACAACACAACAGTCAGAGATCTGCCGAGCCTGAGCTCTGTAATCAGACCCACTGACCAGGGATTCCAGTCAAAATCCTCAGGTTCAGCCCACTTTGACTGACACACTGCAGCAGTCAGAGCCGTGCCTGGCCTCTCCCAGAGGCAGACCTCAAGCTCCCACTTCACCAGCTCATTCTGAGTGAAGCAACAGCTCCAGCCTCATTGCCCAACACCTGCAGACAGTTCAGCCAGTGTAAGGTCAACAGGGTGCTGTGAGAAACCAGCATTTCCACCAGTGGAGCAACACAGAGCAGCAACCAACCCTCTGATGGCCAAATGATCCCTTCTCCTTTGGAAAGGAGCAGAGCCTTCTGTTCCTCAGGTGCAGGGGTTGGCCAGGAGCAGGAAACCCGCACGGGTTTGTGAAGTGGCAGCAGCCTGTGAAGGATCAGTTCAGGAACTGAGAGGCAGGAGGTGAGCTCAGCTGCTTCCCTCAGAACCAGTCTGCCATCTCCCACTCCTCATTTCCAGGGCAGGCTGTTTTGGGGCAGCACAGACCCAAGACAAGCACACATTTAACTCCTGGGCTTGCAGCTCACACTAGAAAGGAACCAGACAGGGCTGGCATCACTAATAGAAATGTGTCCATCCAAGCTAAAACCCCCCATTAGGAAGAGGCGAGCCCTAGCCTTATGGATGGCTCCTGGCAGTGAAAATGCATTTATTTAAACTTAATGTATGGTGGGGGTGGCAGTGGGGACAGAAAGGCTGGGTCAGGCGTGGAGTGTGTGCTACATGAGAGAATCCCTCTGAGCAGGGGCAAATAAAGAGCTGCAGGACAGGAAAAATATAGGTCTGCTTTGAGTGCACATGCTGCTCTTTATTCTTAAAAGCATTACAGGCACTCTGCAACCCACTCCCATTAAGGAGCATTCCCAGCTGATGACAGGCCACAGAGCAGGAGCAGCCCCACAGCACAGGCTCCAACACTGGCTCTGACCTCAGGGCCAGGGCCAAACAAGCTTGGCTGGGAGAAGTGCAAAAAGGGTCAGCCATTGAGTCAGAAAAAACAAGCAGGGTCTTTGGGAGGGGTC